ATAAATATTAATCAATTATAAATGATTAATATTACTATATTTTCTTAGTTCACTTAATTTATTTGTTGTACTTATTGGAACTTTTTAATACATAGTTGTATAAAATTTTTGTATACATTTTTCATTTACTTTTGTCTTCCAAGTTCGAATCCAACGCTGCGTCTTTTATTGTGATTCTGAGTGATTTTCTTCTTAGAAGAAATTGAACTCTGCTACGTCCCTCTAGTGACAATACCACGTACTGCTCGTGCTGAGCGATTTTAGAGAAAAGAGTTTTGAACGTATTCCTTAAAGTTACCTCAACAATGATTAATTAATTACTATGATATAGAGTGCTTTATTTAAAAAAAGTTTTTGTCTAAACTATAGAAAAATGTAACTGTTATATCTATTTGCATGAAGTCCAAGTAACTATCACAATGTAGTTGAGTCACTGTTTCAATTATTACCAATTAATAGTACCTAAATATTGTTACTGTAACTATATTTTTTTTAGTATTCAGTATTATTTTAATTGCTATTACTTTTTAAACTAGTTACAGATACTTAAATTGCAAAAGTTGTCAAATTTATAGTTGTCATAACACTATATTTTCTCTCAGTGTACTTTATAAACAAAAGAAAATTATATATATGAAAATATAGGAAATTATATGTTTCTCTATGTAACATTGAAATAAAAATATCAAATCATTAAATTATACTGAAGGAACAATTATTTATTTATAAGAGAAATATATATTATGTGCGCAACAAGAGAGTATTAATATGAAATGAGTTTATGTATGCGATTGAAAGTGAATGAAAAATAGTTCTTGGAAAGTCCGACAATTACGTAATTGTCACAAAAGATTTACAATCAGCGATAAACGAGCATTCACGATTTCTTTACGTACGGTTCATCGGAAAACGTCACGAATAATGACTCAGTTTTCTTTCGGTTCTTAAGTGCTCCAGACAAACAGATTAACGATCCGAATTGTGGGGCCAAAATTAGTAACTGTCGTCTGACGTTTATCGATCGTACTCCCGGAATCATGACAGAAAAGTTTTTCACAAACCTACATTTCTAGTGTCACGTGCAACTGAAACAACGTTATTCGCCCGAGTGCATCTTCTTCTGGAGTGCAAATCGTCTGACGGGCAACTTTCTTGTATCTGTTTTTTTTTTTAACTTTTCAACCAGCTCGAGTCAAAAAGCGACTTGATTTTTTTAGCAATTTTATTAACTCTTTTATTCTCATGTACGTTGCTTACAACACCAGCCGTGCAGGTCAGGTAAAAAAAATTGCAGAGTTAATTATACAAATAAATAATTGGTGTGCGGATTAGAAATAATTATTTAATAGATTTATTGTTATTATTAGAAACTAATTTAAATCTATGCACCGTGTTGGAAAAGTATCTGGGTTAAACATTAATTCTGCACCGTGTGCGATTACGTAAGCAGTACAAACAACTATAATATTAAACGTATGCGGAAGTTCGCAGCTTCTGTGATCGACCATCCGTGGTCGCACGAAAACATAAGTCACAATAATTGATGCTCGATGTAACGGAATTTCTTCGAGTTTCTCTGAGTTAAATAACAAGCTAATAAGACAAAAAGCTGTCGAGTGAAATTTTCAAATATTATTTGAGCTTTCGAGGAAATGGCAAATGTACTTTCTGATTTATTCGCATTTTCATCAGCGTAGATTAACTTTAATCTCGGTACAATTCTCGGTACATTCTTAGAATTAAAAAAAGATGAAAAGCAAGCTGAACGGAGATTAAAGTTAATCTACATTGAAACGGGCATTAATTTGTATTTCTTTGAATTACTCGTATGAAAAAACTTAAATACGTTAGAAATAAGTCAAATATTAATTACGATAAGAGAGCTGGCAAATTGGAGAATAAATTAAATGCTAAAGAAAAAATTAATTGCACGAATAGCTAGACCGATAAGATATAAGATTCTGAATTGTAAATTCCTAAAAATATCTATATTATTATCTTGCTTTATATAAAAAATTAATTCATATGTAAATATCTATTTGATAAAATTAATTTAAGAAATGAGAAAAATACACCGGCTGAATATATTGTATATATATATTGTGGAGCTCCGATTATTATTATTCCCTGAGAAAATGCTTTCCCTCCCCTCCCTGGTTATCCGATATTCCATGACAAAACGGAACTTCGATCACGATTTACGTTTTTTAACTATAGTGGAAATTTGCGACCATTCACTCCATTCAATTTAGAAATTTATCTTTTTAACAATAATTTAATACGTAATTGTAAAATCTGTTATTGCAAAAAATAACATTCCAGTAGTTGTTTAACAATCTCTGAATCTCCATTAAAGAAACTTCGAACTGATTTCTGTTGCATCAGGGATGTGCAATACGTGTTGTTATACGAAAAAAAAAATGATTCTTTGCAAAAATGTCAATTACAAATCACCTTTAAAGGCGCGGATATTTTTGCAAAAAATCATTTTTTTCTCGTAATACGTATTCCTTTACCGTGTCGCACATCCTTAATTTGCGTTTCTTTCATTTTCATGTATCGTATATGTCGGATACTTGGAATTTTACTGTGTTTTTTCTATTATTTCGAAACCTCCGAGGAAAGCCGATGGTTAGCACGCCGGCATTCATGGCGTCCGCCATACCTTTCTCACGGACAGGTGAACACCCAGACATTACCAGTTTCTTATAATATACCTGCTGCGTCTTTCCTTCGGACTTGTCGGCCTAACGATAAGAAGACAGCGGCGTAGTGCGTACTCCGTTTCAACTAAAGACTCTCTAAGATAAACGTTCTAATGACCGGACGCTTACTAAAATTTTTTTATTATTACTCTTAAATGCTTTTTTATTACATAACTATTAATATTATAATTTAATTGTAACATATTAAAAAAGCATTTAAATCATAACATATTAAAAAAGCATTTAAGATTAATAATAATAAATTATGAAGATTTGAGATTAATAACAATAACATTTGAAATTAATCTTAATAACAATCTGGACAGGAGCCGCAGTTTTCTATAGTGGAGGAGTTTTAACAAAATCAGTAAGAGAGAAGAAAATACATTTACTATTTCTTTCTCATTCTGCTCTATTTTTGTTTTCCATATATATTTTTCTTTCTCAAAAATTATTAAAACGTGACCAATGAAAAGTGACTTTCTCATGTCCAGATTGTCCAGAGAATTCTTAGTTTTAATTTAAAGTCAATGACGGCAGTAGTGGCTCGCTAGGTCCCACTGCTTCCAGAGCAGCTCGAGGTGAGGCCCCGCTGTGAGAACCAACCCCCTCCACTAGGCCGCGGTCACACCGGTGCACTCGCGCACGCGTGCGCATGCGCAGTAAGTTTCAGATTCGAACACACTTACACGTCTTCGTGGAGAACGCGCGTAACCTCGAGGAAGATATAATCTACTCACCGAGAGTTCCGCAGAATAGCAGCACGAAGGTGAACAACGTAGACGAAGCGATGAGAAGTTCTAGCCGGGGCCTCGCCCCGAACCGTCGCGCGACACATTTTCCCAGCATCGTCAACGGTCCCCGAATCCACCTTCACTTCCAATGGCGGTCCAACGTCCTCGGCGTCTATCCACTCCTTTGTATCCGCTCTTGCCCACGCTCTTCGTCCCCTTTTTCGATCCCACGTGCTTCAACGTTTTCAATGGTCACTACACACTGTTTCCATATGCGCCTCTCATCGTGTCCCACCTTTATTTACTTTACGTACCGACTGTGTATCCAGATATTGAATGAAATGAATTAGGCACACGTCACACACGCGTTCATGTATACAAATTGTAACGGTGCCGCGTCGAGACGTCCCGCGAGCGGGGCAGCGATATCACCCAAACCGTGAACGACGCTGTGCAAACGCGCCTACCCGACTGAACGTTACGAGGACACAGATACGACGCGCTCGCTTCACCCTACCTGCTCGCCTCGCGCTCGTTCACTTCACTCGCTCGCCTGGCTCAGGCTGGCTGGCTGGCTGGATGGCTGGCTGGCTGGCTGGCCGCTTGGAATCCTCCCCCTCCACCCGTACCGAGCAGTGAGTATCCCCACCCCTCGGCCTCACTCTATCCGAGTACCAGCGCCAGGCCACGACGTCGACCCCTTCCTCACCGACGACGTACAAACAGCGATCGCCCCCACTAGTCCATGCTACTTGTTGATCTTCGTCCAGGGATGCGTAACCATCCTTTGCACCCGATTCTCTTTTCGTTTTGATCTAAAAAATGAAAAACAGATAGTATGAACTGTAATTTCCTTTTCACAGACAAATAGTTGTAAAAAGTGTATATAAAATTAATTTAAATACAATTTAATATATGTATATAATGTAATATACATATATAATGTATAATATGTAATATATAATAATATAAGGTGTTCCACTTAAATCGACCATCTGAAATATCTCGCTTATTTTTGATGATGT